TACGCCTACAAGGAAGACTAGTTAATATGACTATTATTCAAAGTTACGCACAAATCACTAAGGCCAAAGATGAAAAAATTGAAGATTTTTACCAACTTCTGCAGTCTGTAATTGATCAAATATGCAATCAAGATGTGTTGATAATTACTGGCAATTGGAATGTGAAAGTTGGAAACAAAGAAGAAGGATTGATAGCTGGAAATTAGGACCTTGGTGATAGAAATGATGCCAGAGATCACATGGTGAAATTTTGGAAGACCAACGACTTCTTCATTGGAAATACCTTTTTCCACCAACATAAACTGCAACTGTACACGTGAACCTCGCCAGCTGGAATACAGAGGAATCAAATCGACTACATCTGTGGAAAGAGACGATGGAAAGGCTCAGTATCGTCTGTCAGAACGAGGCCCCTGCAGAACACACAATCAATTGCTCATATGCAGGTTCAAGTTGAAGTTGAAGAAAATTAGAACAAGTCTACAAGAGCCGAAGTATGATCTTGAATGTATTCCACCTGAATTTAGAGAGGGCCTCAGGAATAGATTGAATGCATTGAACACTAATGACTGAAGACCAGATGAGTTGTGGAATGACATCAAGGACATTATACATGGAGAAAGCAAGAGGTCACTAAAAGTCAGGAGAGAAAGAAAAGACCAAAATGGATGTCAGAAGAGACTCTGAAATTTGCTCTGGAATGTCAAATAGCTAAAGCAAATGGAAGCAATGATGAAGTAAAAGAGCTGAACAGAAGATTTCAAAGGGCGACTCGAGAAGACAAAGTAAAATATTATAATGAAATTTGCAAAAGACCTGGAGATAGAAAACCAAGAGGAAGACCACACCTGGCATTTCTCAACCTGAAAAAACTGAAGAAAAAATTCAAGCCTCAAGTTGCAATATTGAAGGATTCTGTGGGGAAAATATCAAACAACACAGGAAGTATCAAAAGAAGATGGAAGGAGTACACAGAGTCACTGTATCAAAAAAGAATTGGTTGACATTTAACCATTTCAGGAGGTAGCATATGATCAGGAACCAATGGTACTAAAGGAAGAGGTCCAAGCTGC